TTTTCAGAAAATATGATTCAAAAAAGGTATTCTTTAAGCGGAGGATCTGAAGTTGAGCATCAGGAGCGATCATATAGCTTCAAATATACCATATGTGAAGAAAGATTGAAAGAATGGCTTTCTTCATGCCTACAAGAGACTGAGGATAAATCTAGTACGAATTTAGTAGTACAGGAAATGCCACTAGAAAGGAGGAGGATGTGGTGTGTTTACCATAAATGTGATGTGAAAAACAAGGGCATTAGGCTGCAGTGAGGAAGAATGAGGTTAGACAACAGAAAAACCTTTTGAGCTGTGTGGGCAGTGAGTTGTATAAATTATATACAAATATGGTAGGAATAATTTATCTGTACTTGATACAGTGCAGTGGGTTTCTTGAAGCCTTCCCATCTCTGTACAGAAGAGTGTTTGGAGAACATACTGTACTGTGGTATAACAGGAATTTGACATTGTGAGGCCTGAAATACATGAAAAGAGAGGCATGTTTTCATTCTTTTTTGCAGGTGCCCAACAGCAGCTGGAAACCACACACTTCCTCTTTCCTACACCTGGAGCCACTGGTTAGCTGTGTGCCTCATTGCTATTCGCAGGAAGTAAGCCAGCTTTGCAGACTCCCTGCAGGAAGCTACGTGATCATACCTTCTACCTACTTGCCCAATACAGAAGGCACTTTTACAGTGATCATAGCAACCAGAATAGACAGGTAAAAATATGTTGCCTTCTATTTGCATTTCTAGTATGTTCAGTGTGTGTGTTTACAGGATGTTTGGAAACAGTAACTGTGGTGACACATTCTCACTTTGGATAGCAAGGCTTTTTAAGTCTTTGTATTGCTGTGTTTGTGAGCACTGCTCACCACTTTATGTTGGAAGAAGGACATTAAAAAAGCACTTGTTAATCTTCTTGCATGAATTGCTGAATAACAGATGACTAGTGTTAGAGAAAATGGCACTAAAGTAACTCATTATCAGCTATATCTGGATATTAGGATTTATGCTGGAATTTTACTAAGCTTTTTAATATACAGGGTTGTTTTGGGTTTTGTTTTTTTTGTTTTTTTTTTTTTAAGAAAATGCAAGAAGTAGCAGGCCTTATTCTAGGTAGTTCCTCCTGATCTGAATAATAACAGATCTGAATCAGATTCCATAAGATTGTGGTAAGATTCCATAAAATTGCATCAAGGTTCCATAAGGGAAACAACGTGGAGCAGAGCCTAACATAACAGTCTTCTCTTTTTGAAGTGGGATAAGTGATTGATGTTTACAAGATCCCCCCAGTGCTTTGTGCAGGACTAAGTGTGGTTTGGGTTTTTAACAGGAAGCGCATTCACAGCCGGGAGACACTTGGACAAGTATTGCAAGAAGTAAGTGATACGTTTTTAATTTCAGTTGTTCTAAAGGTGTTGCAGAGGCATTGTCAAGGCTCATGTATTAACTAGTATCAAGGGTTGTGTACTAGTGGACTGGACTTTGAACGTTCTCATTTACTTGCTGCAAACTGGTAATCAGTAAAAAAGTTAGTCTGTGAGGCTTTGTTTCTCAGCCAGAAAGTGGCGTTTGTTAACAGCTAAAAAAATTTGGGTCGAATTTAATGTATTCCTTCTTGGTTTCAGCATAGATCTGCTGGATTTAGTTCTATATTGTATCTTTCCTCCATCTGATTTGCTTTGATATTAATTTGAGAACATAAGTATTATGATTTAGAAATTCTAATTATATTATAATGTTGCAAAGATGTGAGAAAACACAGCAAAAAGAGAAGAAAAATAAAGAGGTAATCCAAAGATTAGTATTCACCACACTGGAGTTTTGGTTTTTGTTTCCTCACAGCCAGCCCATATAGCACCCTACTGTTAAAGTCCTTCTTGGTGTGCAAGCCATTCTGATCAAGTTAATGCCACCTATTTAGTATTTGGTATTGTGTTTTGTTTGGTTAGACATGCATGTAATATTGAAGGGCTGGATGTGGCTGCTGTGTACCTAATACTCAGAGTATTTTTACTGGATGGAGGGGAGAGCTTTGAATGTAGTCCTTTAACAAGTGTTTATAGATACATCTGGTTGGTGGATCAGAGCCTGCCCTTGATAATTCCACTTACTAGGTGAGAACAAGGCCATGTAGATACTTAGCTCTTTCCTTCTGAGGTTTTAATAATAAAAAAAAAAAAAAAAAGGAAAAACACTTCACCGAAACTTAGAACTGATTTACTAATTTTAGTAATCTAGGTCATGTTGACCAGTGATTACATTTTTCTGTGCTTCATGAAAATGGGCACAGTTTGAGTATGTATGTTCCTCATGGTGCTTGTTATTTTAATATTTAGGAGATCAAGTATGTAACAAAGTCCTTTATTGCTGTCGTTCTGGAAACAAAACATTGTGAGGCCATTATTAAAGAAGGAATATATTAAAATATAGTTGAAGATGTGTTTCTTCTATTATTCCATGGGAACAGTTGGACTTTGGCAAGGGCGGGTCCCTGACATCAAGGGAGTGATCAGTTTAGAGTCTTCAGGACTTGGAAACTTGAAGAACTTGGAAATGGGAGGTTTAGTTTTCTTAACAGTGGCTGAAATGAATGTTTGAAGCTAGTCTTCCAACAGGGTAGTGTTTTCTAGAGACAGGAGTGCAAGTCATTTGGTGCTTCCAGGGGCTTAACCTCTGAAGGATGGAGGCAGTCTGCCTTGCTGAGAAGCAAGGCCATTGATTTCGAAGGGGTACATTGCAGCAGAGCTGGGTGGCAATGCACTTTGCTAAAAGGTTGTCTGTGTTTTCAGTTACTGAAGTGGTAGGATTTAAAAGTATTAGTTTAAGATATTTCAGATGAAAAGCTTGCATTTTGTCCTTAACTTGTTAATCTTTCTTTTCTCTGATTTATTTTAATGCCTTATGAATTTCTTTTCTTGACAAAAAAAGTTAACTCATGAAATAACTTTTTTTTTTTTTTTTTTGGGTGGTGTTTGTTTTCTTGCAGATTTCATTTACAACCGTGATGAAAAGATAATCTGGAACTCTCACACTGTCATTTTGAGAAACACTGGAAAGCTGAGGAACGCCTCACTTCTTGCTGTTCACAATTTTAAATGGAATAACAAGAAGATACTCTTAGCCCAGCTGTTTTTCACTGGTACCAACTGTCAGGCCTATGACAACTTATTTGTAAAATTACCTCCTTAATCATGTAAACTCTGAGTATTTTTTCTTCCTCCATTTTTTAGAACCAGCATTGTATAGTAAATCTTCATAATGTACCTCAGTTCTTCAAAAGTACAGGTGAAGAATATCTGCATGTTTTAATCCAAGCTACAGTTTCAAAGAAAATCAGAAAACATGTGCATATAAATTATACTGGAGGGGGGGGAATCAAGCTTACAGAATAACTTCAGTAGACCAAACTGGTAAACACAGAGGAAAGAAACTGGAGTCTTCTTTAAGGTGGGACATACCTCAAGAATGATCAAAATAACACTGGAGTGGAGAAAGACCAAGATTGTGTCCTACACTGCCAGTCATAACTGCAGAGCACTTTATCATGGGGGCCTTTGCTGAACCATGCAAATGGTGGGTTGAAAAGGAAGATTTTTTGACGAGCTTTTCTTTGATGAGCTCCCCAAAGGAAAAAGACAAGACTTGAAAACTTCTGGTTATGAACTATCATGTCAGACTGCTTTTGTAAATCTGTAAGAATGTTTTACGCACGATCTGCCCTCTCTGTAAGAATACAAACTTTAATAGATTTTTCTTAATTTATGTTTGAAGCTATTTCTTATTCAAGGAGCAATTTTTTAGATGTTGTATTTTCCTCAATAAAGATGGAGTGATGTTGAAAGTTTTATGATGTATTTTATTAAAAAGGTGAGCACTGTCATTGATGTCAAGCCTGCATTTGCTCTGCAGTAGCAAACTTTACAGGGTGTTAGAGCCCTGGGTTTTCCACCAAATGGAAGGGAATAATTTGAAATATTTGAGAGGATAATCAAATCTTCCATTAGTTTTATGTCTGAGAAATATGTAATAGTCTGGTTCTGGTTTTAACTGGTCTAGCATAATTTACGCTTGCTCCTGTTGAACTTTGGAAAGCATCTAGGATGCTTGCAGCTACATTTTAAGTGGTGAAAACTTTCCACATCTGTTGTGGAATGATGAGACAACAAAAGAAACCACTGTGAGAATAATAAATCTTTACTGTGCCTGCTGTCACAAGCATTGGCATCTTTGTTTATTTTCTTCACTTCTTGAAAGACTGTTCCTTTCCCTTTAAATAGGAGATTACTGGATGATATAATAATGTTTGTAGATGAAGAAGGAAAGGTTCATGAAAGCATCTGGACCCAGGAGTCGTGATAAGATGGGAAACGGATACCGAGGAAGTAAAGAAAAGAGGTGTAAGGATTTCTAAATGGTCTACTATTACAAGAGATCCTTTTCTGCAACCATTTATCTGTGTGTGAAATTTATACCACGATACATAATGTTTCAGGAGACTGTGGAAACAAAAGGAATCAATGCTAAGTGTGTGCACTGGGCTACCTTCTGCAAAAGGATGTAAGAAAAGACCTGGGAGCAGCAGTAACAGCATACTGAAGATTTTTTTATTATTATTTGGAGGTCCTTGCTGCATGAGAACAGTTGTGCTGTTTCCAGAGTGTGGTACCTGTCTGAGCACATATGCAGGGAACTCTGCTTGATACAAATCACTTCTCTAAAATCCTGCATCTAGTTCATTGCTCCTGTGAGTCTGAACATGCTTTTTTTACAATTTTTTTTTTTTATTGTGACCTATTACTGTTACTCGAATATGCTTAAGATGTGATTACATGAGCTTTGGCAAGTATGCTAATTTCAAAAAGCTCAACTCCGTGAGGCCAGACCTAAATAAAATGCTCTGTATTAATTCGCTATACTGAGCTATCTACATTTCAATGCAAGTGAGATAGTGATAGATGTTTTTAAAGGATCTGCAACTGAGTGAAGTCCTGCTGCACTGTAGCGTGTTGCAGACTAGCGTGGGATAGCACAGAGTTGATATGGATGTGGCTGCAGTATTGCACCCAAAATGTACTCCAGATTGATTTCCTTCACTCCCTCAGGGAGCTGGAATGTGAATGCTCGAAGGAGGCTGGTAAAGAAGATGAACAGTTCAACTCGTGCCATCTGTTCCCCCAGACATACACGATGCCCTGCAGAAGAAAGGCAAAAAGAGTTACATTGTTTAAAGTTAGGCTCTGAAAAAGCTTCAAACAAACTCCTACTGAGTTCCATAAATTCTGTCAATATAAGATAATTATTGCTTATTTCCTTTTGTAAGGACAGAAGATAACCTTTGAAGGTTGGGGGAAAACATTTATTTTTTCTGAGAAACTGTGTATCTCTGTCAACCTTTTGTTTTGGTTTTTTTTGGGGTGTTATTTTGTTGATTTTTTTTTTTTTTTCCCCTGGTGCATGTGTGACATTGTCCCTTCCCATTTTTGCTTCTTGTTTTGTGAGAACCATGAATGTTAATGTGATTTTGAAAAAGGCTTCATCTACTTAAGAGTCCTATCTCTGGTTGTTCAGGAGGGAGGACTGGAGCACTGCAGAATGCAATTCTGAAGTTAAGTGGAAGGATGTCAGTCAGGCTTCCTTCAACAGAAATGAAGGTGACTCTATTTGGTCTTTGTAGCCCGGTAGCTCTGATTTTGCCTGGGACAGATGTGGAAAGCAACAGGAACGAAATGTAGGCATGTGCAGTGGTGTATGAATGCAGTAACTAATTTTGGCACATTATTTTCACAGTATGTTTTAGAATATCTGTACGTTACAGTCAAAATAAATATTCTGCATCTATAAATACTCATATTATAAAAATGGAAAACAACCAAGGCAAGTTAAAAAAGAAAATTTCCTATGTCGGGTTGAAATGGTAGCCTAAATTAGTTGTCTTAATTCACGTAAGCTAGTGGACATTTGGTGAGTAAAGGAGGTAAGATACTAAGTACCTGTTTTGCAAATACAATTTTAGGGTTTACAGGCAATTTAGGCAAATGGTTTTAAAATCTGGATTTACTATGTTTAATCTCACTGCTTTGTATGTTATTTAGTATACTATTTACTTTTTATCTGCAGCAAACATATAACAGTATAATCTGTGACAGTAACATATAAACCCCTCCACTGTTTCCCAATGTTTTTTTTTTAATTTTTATATTTTAATTTTCAGTGGATAATACCTGTTTCCTGTTGTGCTGATTTTCTTCATAGTCTTTTTATCAGAGAAACTGGTAGTCTAGAAAAGCTCTTGTAGTTACATTTTTTCACTTTTTTTCCCCTCTACCATGTCTTTGTATTGCTGCATTTTGCATTGTAAATTAGGGAAGTTGTGTGTTGTAATATGCTTTTGAAAAGTTAGAAATGCCTTTTTGGTTGCCTAATAATACTCTGCTGGAAAGACTGGATTTTGCTAGTTTCCTGGAGATACAAGAGAACTTGGTGCTAGTCTATTACTGCAGGATTTGGGAGACTGACATTTGGTTTCCTGCTTTATCACAGATTTTCTCCCTATATTTTAACAAATCGTAGTGCCTTTGTCTTTGGGTTCCGCATTTGTAAGGTGAGAATAAATTTTCCAATTTGCAGGTGATACCAGGATTTAATACATGAGGGATGAAGGAGCTCTGATACCCTTACAGTGAGAACCATACATATACCAGGGAGGTAGCACTATGTCTCTTAGTTGCAGTAATCCTGTTTATATGTATAAAAAGTATAGAATGCAGGACAAAATTGGTGGCTTTTACAGTAGAAATACTGACTTTAAATCTGTGTCAAATATGGCTTTACAAAAGTATGGTTTTAAAATTTTAGAACTTAAAAATGGTGGTTTTAGTCTTGCTGCAAGACAGAGCAGTCAAGAATAAAACGTTGGGGCATTACCTGCTGAGAAAGGCAAGAATGCCTCTTTGTTCACAAAGTTGCCATCCGAATCAAGGAAATGATCTGGGTTGAACTCCCAAGGGGTTGCCCAGTGCTCAGAGTCATACACAACAGAGTGTAGATTTGGCAACACAAGTGTGCCCTGCAAGAAGAAGCAGAGGTTTTATTTTCCATGTATGATTGATCATTTTTTTGGACTTCCCTTCTTTCTAGGTACTATGTCATCCTGTATCTGCAGCCCAGTGCTTGGATTCACCTTGGTCTTTTACTGTGCATATCCAGGCATAACAGAACCCTTGTATCTTCTGTTTGTCGTGATGTAATGCGTTTGCCTTTGTCTAAAGGATCTTCTGTCACGACTACTGAAGTGTTTTCATGTCTAAGCTTGAGTAGACCTTGGATTGTTTTACATACTTGCCAGACATCATAACATTTTTTGAAAGATTCTTTTTTGGTTTCTTGTACTCTTGCTGGATCTTTCCATTCTATCACATCAATTTTATGCTTAATATATTTGGGACATTTATATCATGGCAATGTGACTGCCAGATAGTTGACTGTACTGAGCTGCCATCATTTTAAATGTGTTGGGGTATGTGTATTTTGTTAGGGATGACTGTATGTTGCTCCATTGCTCTTCATTTTTCCTTAAAACATGTTCTGCTTTGATGTTTAGACGTCATGCGTATCTGACTAGTGGAAGAAACACTTCAGTTTCCTTACGTTTCTGCTTGTGCTGTCAGCCTTTTCCCAAGCTTTCCTTTGCATCTGCTAGTGCAGGCTTAGCCCTGGTTCAGAGCACTGGGCTTTGTTTCATGTCCATGGCATGCCACCACATGCTCTATGCAAAGTGTGCAATTGTAGAAGCCGATGTCATAGGAATATTAAATATTAACAGTTCAAAGCTTTAAGAAACACGGGGGTATACTCTGTACCTTCTGAATGTGAAAACCCAGCAGGGTTGTGTTCCTCACACACTGCCGAGGCACCCCGACGGCAGTCACGTTGCTGTACCGCAGAGCCTCGTGAAGCACAGCACTTGTGTACGGCAGTTTCTTACGGTCGTCGTAGCTGATGAGATGGGAGGGTTCCAGGACACCATCTAGCTCTCTTTGAACCTTTTCTGAGGAGAAATGAAAATAGTTTAACAGCTTTTTATCCCTTTTTCCACCAGATTGCTGTACAGGGGGGTGTAAGGAGAATGCAGTTAATGAC